GGACATGGGGAGCGTTTGGGGAACATCTGTAACGGTCCCCGTTACAATTAGCACTTGTTAAGGTCTTCCGTCTTCACGGAAGACCTTATAGTGATTGTATTGTTTCTTATTATTATTATTATTCTTTTTTTTGACAAAATTTTGTGCACGCGATTTCTCGAAAACTATTCAGCGGTTTTCAACGAAACTTTCACCAAAAATGCGTCATGATATGAAGTTGTGCAGTCTACAATTTTTTTTGGAAATGTCGCTTCCGGTGTCAAGTTATGGACAATTTTCTGATTTTAAAATGCGATTTTGTCGCGCACTTTTATCGAAAATGGCTAAAGATATGAACTGGAGACTTATTGGAGACAATGGCTCATGAATTTCTGGTTTGCAGAATCACATTTTTGTGCGTCGTCAATACTTCCGGTCGTTACGAGATGCAAATTTAAAAACTCGTATTTTTCTAACTTTTTTGTTTTTCAACATTTTTTATTTATTTTTGGAATGATAATAGAGACCCTTTAATTGATGCTTACTATATACGTTGTTTGGATATTGGTTAATCAGAACTCTAGATATTAATATTTGAAAATCTGAAGCGAACCCAAGATGGCGGCTGTCTCTGTCAACTCCGCCATTTTGCGAGGAGGGGTTTATGGAGGCAGCTGAGCGTTTGACTAAATGATACATGAAAAGTAAAAAAACTACGTGGACTTTCACCTAGTAGTACGCTGCAATTCAGTGACAATCTTAAAACTTAATTTCCGTTTTATTGCTTTAGTGTATTGGGCTAGATACGTGTGTGCAATGTGTTAAATTTACTTTCTTTACGTCGAAATAAAATAAAAGCGATAAGAAGTTGTTTTATTTAATATTTAATTTCATTGAAGCTATCACACCTGTTTGATAGATAAGTCCAAAGGATAGGCAGTATATTTACTCGTGGTGTTTGTCGCCAGATTATGAATAGCGACCCGCCTTTTATGATTCTTAGACAGGTGTACTGTTGCAGGTGTACTGTATACATAACTATATTTAGAGCAGTATTCAAAATTTATTAGTTTTTCACAACGTAACCACTGTGTTTCCCATGCACACTTGAGTCATATTAAACTAATACAAAAGACAGAAATAAGAAAACCTTTTTTTAAATAAGATCGTCTAATGGAGTTTATATTAACATTCTTTTCTCAAAGATATTTAAAGTTGAACATTGAACATACATGAAATCTGATTCCTTGACCGTCGAAGGGCGAGACATGTCTTTCATCGAACCATTTCTACTTTTTCATGAAGGTGTAAAGAATCGGGTTAGTTCACTTTGGGGATAAACGGGTAATTGCAAAAAAGTTAAAAATGATTACCATTTCACTTCTTTTGTGTTACTTACCTATATAAGATATAGAATATGTACAATCTGTTAAATATACTTTCTAAACCTTGCAATTTAGGCTTAAAGAACGTTCCTTTTTCTTTATTCTATTGAAGCTATTACACCTATTTAATGAAACATTCCAAAGAAAAGGCGTGCAGATTAACTTGTGGCGTTTGGCGCGAAATTATAAATAGTGGTGCGCCTTTCGTGATTCTTAGACAGGTGTATTGTTGTAAATTCAAGTAAATTTAGAGCAGTGGACTCAAACGCGTAATTTAAGCGTGTTGGGAATAAAGAGGAAAAAGCGCGTTGGATTTTCACGCTGGCGAACTGGGTTCAATCCTCTTTGTGACCCAATTTTTTTTTCACTTTTGCACCTCGATTTTAGGTTCTTCTCCTGAATCGGACGGAAGACCTCTCGGTGCTCGCAACGAGATTCGTTTCTAGTTATTAAGGTCTTCCGTTTCCAACGGAAGACCTTATTGTTTTCGTTCTGTTTCTTTTTCCCTATTATTATTATTTTTATTATTATTCTTACCGATTTTGTGCACGCGAGTTCTCGCAAACGGCTCGATGGATATTTACGAAACTTTCAGATCTGATAGATATCGATCTGAACCTTATAAATTTTTTGTATTGAGAACGTCACTTCCGGTCATGAGATATGTACGATTTTCTGATTTTCAGTGGGTCTGCTTGTCCTGGTAACTCCTCCTAAATGACTTAAGATATGGAGTTGAGATTTTCAGTGTACATAAAGAAAGGATTGTAGAAGTGCCATTTTGAGCCTATAGCTTTGCAGCGCCAGAGGCACCAAAGCTAGCCTGAGTTTAAAAAATGGCTCAAAAATATCTCACGCAATTTGACAACTTTTCGATTATATCTTCTCATCTATAAACATTTTGCTAAAACATACAGAATAAAATTTGTTTCGAAATTTACGATCTTTCATTTGATATGAAGGAAAAAGGGCTGACCCCTCAAATAAGGGGCCTAGAGCTGCCGAAAGACTTTCATCTATAATTCTTTCACTATCAATTTTTTGTTATAAATTACTGAAGCAAAAGTGTTTATCTTAACAATCTGCAACAATATATTGTAAAATTATGATCATATGTTACGTAATTAGGGGCTATAAGGGGCCGGAATACTGAAACTTTGACGCTTCATATCATGAAAAGAGGGAACATTTTGATAAGCAATATTGAACAAAAGATGGTCAGAGTAATGATTTAAACAATATGCATACTTTGAATTTTTGTAAAACGGCCCCATTAAGGACTTGTAGGAGTGGCCCCTAAATATTTTCATTTAGCATATCTCCACATCGAATAGAAATCTCTGAATAAGTGTTGAACAAAAAATCTTCAAAATCACAAGACCTTTCATTTGATATCAAGAAAAAAGGGCTGATCCCTCAAATTAGGGGCTCAGAGGGGCCAAAAGTCTTTTATCTATAACTCTCTTATGATGAATATTTTGTTACACATTATTGAAGCAAAAGTATTCATCTTAACGATTTGCATCAATATATGAGACTATTTTGATAATATGTTACGTAATTAAGGATCAGAAGGGGCCAGAATGTCACATCTTTGACGCTTTATATCTCGAAATGGGGGAATAATTTGATAAGCAATATTGAACAAAAGATGGTCAGAATAATGTTCTAAACAATATGCATACTTTGAATTTTTGTAAAACGGCCCCATTTAGGACTAGTAGTGGTGGCCCCTAAATATTTTCATTTAGCATATCTCCACAACGAATAGAAATCTCTAAATAATTGTTGAACAAAAAATCATCAAAATCACAAGACCTTTCATTTAAAATCAAGAAAAAGGGGCTGGACCCTTAAATAAGGGGCTCAGAGGGGGCAATATTCTTTTATCTATAACTCTCTAATGATCAATATTTTGTTATACATTCCTGTAGCAAAAGTATTTATCTTAACGATTTGCAACAATATATGATAATATTTTGATAATATGTTACGTAATTAGGGATTTCAAGGGACCAAAATGCTATATTTTTTATTTGAATCTCACTTCCGGTCGTGAGATATGGTCGATTTTCTGATTTTCAGAGGGTGTGCTTAACAATATGCATACTTTGAATTTTCAGTGAAAGTAAAGGAAGGTTTGGGACTTGTAATTGGAGTGGCCAAATCTTTATATAAAGCATATCTCCTGAAAAAATGTCGAAATATCTCAAATTTTTTGTGAATACGGTGTAGTTAACAAAAAGAAAAAATTGAAAATCACAAGGCCTTTCATTTGATGTCAAAATAATGGGGCTGACCCCTAAAATTAGGGGCTCAGAGGGGCCGAATGTCTTTTATCTATGACTCTCTAATGATCAATATTTTGCTATACATTACAGAAGCAAAAGTATTTATCTTAACTATTTGCAACAATATATGATACAATTTTGATCATATGTTACGTAATTAGGGGTCACAAGGGGCCAGAATGCCAAATCTTTGACGCTTCATATCTCGAAAAGGGTGAATATTTTGATAAGCAATATTGAACAAAAGGTTGCTAGATTAATGTGCTAAACAATATGCATACTTTGAATTTTTGTAAAACGGCCCCATTAAGGACTTGTAGGAGTGGCCCCTAAATATTTATATAAAGCATATCTCCTAAACGAAAAGAAATCTCTGAATAGGTGTAGAACAAAAAGTCTTTGAAATCACAAGACCTTTTGTTTGATATCAAGAAAAAGGGTCCGACTCCTCAAATTAGGGGCTGAGAGGGGTCAAAAGTCTTTCATCTTTAACTCTTTCATGATTAAAATTTTGTGATTCATTACAGAAGCAAAGATGTTCATATTAACGATTTGCAACAATATATGATAAAATTTTGATCATATGTTACGTAATTAGGGGTCACAAGGGGCCAGAATGTCAAATCTTTGACGCTTCATATCTCGAAAAGGGTGAATATTTTGATAAGCAATATTGAACAAAAGGTTGCTAGATTAATGTGCTAAACAATATGCATACTTTGAATTTTTGTAAAACGGCCCCATTAAGGACTTGTAGGAGTGGCCCCTAAATATTTATATAAAGCATATCTCCTAAATGAAACGAAATCTCTGAATAGGTGTAGAACAAAGTCTTTGAAATCACAAGACCTTTCGTTTGACATCAAGAAAAAGGGGCCAACTCCTCAAATTAGGGGCTGCAAGGGTCCAGAAGTCTTTTATCTTAAACTCTTTAATGATCAAAATTTAAAGATGTATTTTATAAGCAATATGTTCATATTAACGATTTGCAACGATAAATTATAAAATTTTGATCATATGTTACGTAATTAGGGGTCACAAGGGGCCAGAATGTCAATTTTATGACGCTTGATATCTCGAAAAGGGGGAAAATTTTGATAAGTAATATTGAAGAAAGGATGGTCAGAATAATGTTTTAAACAATATGCATACTTTGAATTTTGGTAAACAGGCCCCATTAAGGACTTGAGGGGTGGCCCCTAATTATATCAGCTTAAGCAAAAATGAAAATAAAAAAAAATTATTACACATCACAGTATATTTCAAACTCAGTTTAGTCCTATCAGATATTTACAGTAAGATGAATAAGAGAACATACATAAATATCCCAAAGATGATTTATATTTGAATGGACAGGAGTTGCTGAAATTGTCACATTTATTCTCAAAATTTGGTTGAATCCTTTCCCCTCCTTCGTTGTACTCTGCACAGGAAAACCCTTTAAAGAATGTACAATAAATATGTATTATTTGTAAGGATTGATTTATTCTATGTAATTTTACGATTAATTTACTCGCACACTACAACTCGTTTATTACGAACTCGTTATAGTGATGTTACCGTGGGTCCTCAGCTATATGTAAATTTAATCAATTCCTTACATGGGTACGGTGGCGGATCCATAAAATTTGAGAGTGGGGGATGGAGGTCAGGGTATGGTCCCACATCCGCACCCAATGCCTTGAATTATTGAATATCGTGTATTTTTGGACATAAAAAGGGGGGTAGGGCGGATAAAAAAATGCTGTTGTAGAAAGTAATTTCGTAGGTCCCATTGACTTTGCTTTGACCGAATTTTACACTGTATACAAATAAATTGAGATTCTATTTTAAATCAGCACTCACTGTAATTTAAAGGCAGAGATTTTATGCACAGCCTTCAAAAATACCTGGTCAGGGTAGCCCTGTCACTCAATTTTGTGTAGGTCCATCATTGGATGCTGGAACTTTATTGACAGTTGCTTGCTGGACCCTGTGTATACCCTGTACACCTTGTTTGGTACTCGTGGTGACCTTCTAATTAACTTTTCATCCTTTGATGTTTACTGAACATGGTATACAGAACTACTGTATTACTATCAGGAAATTTTTTAGGTTGATAATATATGAATGAAATATACCTTTAGTATTTGAAAAGAAACTAATATAATATGCATTTTTAAAGCCACAAAAATAGGATTTAATACACAAACTTTTTTAAAATGAAATTTCGATATAATTTTTAATATGCTTAGTGGTAAAGTAGAAATGTTATTGATCAAGTTCAGAGCAGCACTGTTTAAAGTAATTAAATTTAAAAAAGTGTATCTTATCATGGGTAACTTACATTTTTCTTTTTTTATTCAAATGACAATTTACAAACATGTTTTAAGGTGACAAAGCCTTTATTTTCATAGTTAGGATACATGAAGCCTTACAGTGCAGGTATTTTTTTGTGAAATGTAGTTCACAGAGCTCTCTTTTCATTTAATAAATACATGTACATGTAAATGGGATTCCTGGGGATGAATGAATTAAGTCTAATTTGGTTGTTACAAGAGTTGTTTTCACACAATTAACTCAAACTTACTAACTCAAAATTAACACAAACAATAACATGTAAAACAATCTTTGCTTTAATATTTAAATTGATAGTGTGAAATACTTTTTTTTTAAATAGGTAGGGATGTTTTCAAACAGTCAAAATTAAATCAATAAAAAATTGAGAGGAAAAACTTTTTACTTCTAATTCTAAAATTGTCTCAAAATCCCAAACACAGGTAAAGTTTGACACCTAGGGTATTTCACTGTGTATTAAATCACTTCCTGTGTATAGAGTTTAGGAGACAGATGACCACAGGTAGATTGCTAGCCACCAAGGCATTCACACCTGTACAAAATAAGCCCCTCCCTCACCTGGAATTTACCACCCGGTAAAAAACCTCTGCCTTTAAGGCATATTTCCGTGCCAACAACAGTGGCGGCACAGGTCCCAGTTTTTGTAATGACATTCCAAGGGCTCATGATACTCTTTACAAAGCCCAAAACTACCCATAACGCTCTACAGTTTAAAGTAAAGAATTTAATGTAAAAAAAATACTTGATAAGAAGTAAGTTCTCCGAAAAAAAACCTTAAGTAATCAACCACATTCATTGATTGTTATAATTCAATTTAAAAAAATGCATTTATTATGTTTTTTTTATCATAAGGAAGAAAAATAAACATACATGTAGCACAGTTATTGTTCATTCTAACAAACAACCAACGTTAGACAAAACCTAAAATTCATTGATGTTCGTTACCTATGATATCCGTATCGGGGCCACATAACTCAAATGTCGCATTTCTCCATGCATTTATAAGACAGTGGTATTTGAGAGGAGCCATGTTATTACACTTAAGGGAAATTCTAGAGCAGCCTTTCTTCTCTTCCGATACAAGCCATTGCTCTTTTGTTCTTGGACAGGTGGGGACTCTATTAACATCAGTCAAACAAGAAGGAATTGTAACGTGCACATTCACCTAACGCAAAGAAAACGTAAAGGATGAAGTCACATATCCCAGATAAAAATAACAACGTTTATTTTTAGTCGTAAATATTACGAAAAGTATGAAGAGATCTCTAGAAAAGTCAGTGAAGATACAGATGTTATGAATTAATGGATATGGAAACATTTTTTTTTATTTCAGAGATAATGTAAAACAATGTACCTCTCTGCAAGTATCAGCAGAAATATAAAGACTGGTATGCTTGTATTCAGAACAACTGCAACCGTAGGGAAAACAAACATAAAGTTGATTTCAAAACGAAAGAAGTGAATTCTTTAAAAGATAAGAAAAAAAATATAAAAGAAATATAGAATGGAAACGTGTATTTGTATTTACCTTTCATATAGGTGTTGATAATTTTTGATTGTAAAGGAAGGAAAGTTCTCATTGTAGGTTTTATATGGATTAAACGTTGACTTTCATACTTTTTAGTACAAATATCTCACACACGCAAATCTGTCGACAGACTGTCATAATATATCAATCATCCTTTAATCTCTGAGTTTTTGGATTAAAATGTGCTGTTTCATCCTGCACAAAAGAACAAAAATAATATCGTTAGTGTTTTAGGTGTTGATGAAAAAATGAGCTGAATAATATAGCAAAAGAAGCTTGGGAAATATGACAAAGAATCAGTGAGTTTATTAATTACTTGTTGCCTTGGATTACTTAAATGTAAAGTTACAAAATGATCCCCATTTGGTATAGTACATGTATCTGGTATGAAGCTCGAAACGATAAACAAAAATGAGAATATTAAGCGATCAACAAAAAAACCCATCCCACTGGACTATAGAATATATATTTCAATGCATTGTTCGCTTTTCGCAATATAAACTTAATTCGTGATGTTCGAACATAAAGTCGTAAAAATTAAAGATATTTAGATGGAATACAACATATTTAAATATCCAAGCAGTATCCAAGTATTTTGAATCTATACTGTTTTTCAAAAAAAAAAAAAAAACAACACACACAAATCCAATAAAGGTTTTCATTTAATTATTTACTTTATTTGATAAACAATGATACAAATTCTTGAATGGTATGTTGTTTTTTTTTAATTAAAGGAAACTCTTTTTAATATTAATTGTTAATTAAAGAAAAAGTATTATATATATATGCATGCATACAGCACAGTACATATAGATACATAAAGGAATTGGAGGAGATACTTTTCTAGCGGAATTTAGCAGATTAACAAGAATGATGTTTTCATTTTTTTATGGATTAAATGTAGATGCATATGTATGATGTATATCCTACCTCTATTAAAAACATAAGATTGTCGATTAACTCCATACAATGTAAACATCACGAAGAAATATACATGTATTTATCTTTTCTTTCATGGTTTGAATGACAGACCTTTAAAAAAACGTCAGCTATGCATGTAAGTAAATTGAAGTTCGTATCATACCTGTATAATATGAATCCATTTGACCTACATACTTCATCCGAATACAAATTTGCGAGATCTATGACTAAATCTATAACTGATATATCATAATTAAATGCATTCTATCGTAAAATAAAACAATAAGACGAGGCTTCAGCAATACATACGTTCTACCATATCACACACACACGCGCGCTATGCTTACTGACTATTTTTAGGAAAGGTGATTCCCGAATATCTTTTTTTTAGGCACACGTCAATCAATTTCAAGGCTAAACATAATCTAATTATAAGTTCTGTGTACGATCAATCACTGGCTTAGAGTAAAACGCTGAGTGGAGTAGAGGCAATTGTGTGGAGACAAGGAGTGGAGTCTGTAATATAACAGAACATAAAGGTAAAATAAACTGAATTCTATTTCATACAAAATATTTGATGGTTTTATCCTCGAGGTAAAAAGGAGAAAACATTATTCACGGAGCATGTTTCTTTCACGCATGCTAACGTTTCGTAGACTTTTTCTAGGATATTAAAAATTTTACTGTTGCCGCGAATCATTCTCTATGATATTTGATCTGTTGCTTCATGGAAAGTCATTTGGTAAAATATTGCTGTAAAGAGTAAAGATTATGACTCTTTCATCGCTTAATATTGATGAAGAATCCTAACAAATAAAATCAACAATCAACAAATTACTCCAAAGTAGATATATGTAGGTAGGAAAATGCCTGAAACAGACTTTTAATGTTTAGATGCAGATAGAAATTGCTTGCATATACATGTATCTTGTACATATGTTATTAAGTATCAAAATGGTACTAGCTTTGTAAGAATTGAAAGATATACATTTATGATAATAATATCCTTCCTTGATAGTACCGTAAATGGTCATGTCAACAGGAATACACATGTAAAATATGGAAGCCATATCCTCAGACAATTAAATGTGATGGGAAGATAAGTAACACATATTTTGAAACACCAAATTAAGAAATTAGTAAATTAAGAATAAGCAAGTATAAAAAAAGGAAGTGAACACGTATGCATATCTTTCATGTTCTCACTAAAATTTAAAGTAAGTGAATTTTATTCTTTTTTTTTACTTTAAGATTCAATCATTTAAGAAATCTCTTTGTAAGAACCTAAATTTTTAGTCATTTTTAGACATTTTATTATAAATTGATATGCATTACAGTTTAAATTAGATATTAGATCTATTTGCACACTCGCAACACTAACATCTAACACCATCTTGTGTAGGGTCAAGCAAGAGGTCAAATTTTATCAACCAATCAATTCGTTGTCTTCAAATCATTGTATAATTCTTGAGGCAAATAAATCAAGAGTTTTTCCGAATCTGCCCTCTGACGTTACCCTCTATGGAATGCTGTTAGATGTTAGTGTAGCGAGTCTGTGAGAGGATCTAACATCTAATTTCAATAAGATTGTATTAAATTGAAAATGTTATCTTGTTTACTCGAAATATTAGCAGAATGATGTTTTCAGAAACTGGCTACAAGGAAGTGCATGCTGCTCATAAACCAACAAGTAAAAGTATCCTGATGATAGAGAGTTAAGCATTTATCTAAATTGCACAATTGAAATATCCTCGAAATGATAATTTGTTTGTGAAATTCATGTCAAAGATGATGGTTTACCAAGGACATGGACACTATTACATTGAAAACAGTTGAAATCCGTGATCTCGAACACCGATATCTAAAATGCCATGTGTATCTCTCTCTCTGTCCCCACTCTCTCTCTCTCTCTCTCTCTCTGATGACTTTCAATTTCTGATAGGAAATTTCGGAAAATGTTTTCAGAAACTGATATAAGGAAGCGGACATTATTGTTCAATCACATAATAAAACAGCCATAATGATCCCGAATTCCTGAATTTAAAAACAAATCAAAAGCGCCAACTTTAATAGAAAAAAAAATTAAAACAAAAACTAAAAAATGATTTTCAGTTCCATTGCATTTCAGCTAGTTTATGTGCTCTCTGTATTGTCTACAGAAGGTCCACGTACTGGGTAAATTGATTAAATTTTTGTTTGCATTTGTTTTAATTTTTGAAGACGTTAACTTTGCGTAAATTATCTGGCATGCATTGTTATTTAAAAAAATGAGACATTTGTATTGCAGAGATTTTTTCAAAGGATGTTGTGCCCACACATATTGGGATAGTGACAGAGAAGATTGTTTTGGTAATTAATTATTCTTCCTTACGATAGCCTGAAAAATATATGTATATATATATTTTATACCGGAGACTTGTATCTTCTGCAGAATGTCCTCCTGGGTTCTTAGGATTAAACTGTAGCATACCTTGTGACTATCCTTATTATGGAGATTTATGTCAAAGCGTATGCAAATGCAACAACAGTTCTTGCAATTTCAAGAACGGATGCTTTTCTACAAACGGTAAGATATGTCTGGTAAATATCAGTCTATGTATCTAGTTTCAGTAGCTTGAATGGCTGGTATGGCAGTGAGGCAAGACACTCTGGGTAAAAGTCTTAAGTTCAGTTGTAACCAAAAAAGATTTTCACGTATTGTTTTTACATTGTATTCCTCTATTTCATAGCAAGGAATACTTTCATACGCAAGAATTAATTTTTTCGCGGGCTCATTGTCTCTCGTACATACGCGAAAATTGTTCTAGCAAAATAAAAGTGAGTAACAATATTAGGGGAAAAAATGAAACAACCTCGACTTGGTCGTTTCTGCATTAGTGATTTTTAATGTAACTTATATTAGTTAGGAGAAAAATGAGGCTGTATGGTATGGTGGCAAAATATATGTTATCCACCTATTTTTTTGTCAACATAGCATTTCATGTCAAATCAAGATAACTTTTTCAAATCAATAAAAACTTTCAGGTTTTTCGTCAAACACCGACTTTTGTCTTGTACAATCAATATAAACTATCGTATTTTTGCGATATCTATCTCCACGTAAAAGAGAAAATTTATCTTGTATCGCGACTAGAAGTTATCTCGTCATCTCAAGATAGCCCTAATTACAACAGAATGTGATAGCGTATCTTGACTGGAAAAGATAAAGCTGTTAGCTAAAATAGATACGATTATATCCATTATACCTTTTAAATGCAGTTTCAACAACGTTTGTCTCATTGCAATGCATGTAATAAGTCTTTTTATCAATGATTGTGTAATAAATTTCAATGCAGTTTATAATTCGTTTACGGTGTCATGTTGCTTATAGTTGTATCTAGTTGATCTTGGAAAATGAGATGCGATCTTAGGTACTGTCTCAGGAGTAGATTTATAGGCAGTCTTAAATGTATTCATCTTAGTCATCATAGTACTCTCTACAGCAGCTTAAAACTTAACTAACTCACCACATGTTTTGTCCTTTGAAAATGTGATTTTATATGTAAACGTAAACTGTTGCAAATAAAGTATTTATGCAGTTTATGAAAACATGATCTAACATCAAGTATCAACCTTGACCCCCCCCCCTCTCTCTCTCTCTCTCTCTCTCTCTCTCTCTCTCTCTCTCTCTTTATATATATTCCAAATAAAAATGAAAAACGGTAGACTCAAGATTTCAACTTTCTTTTTTTTAAATAACTTATATGTTTTCAGTTTATTGGAATAATAATAATTACATGTAGGACATTCTGAACAAGTAACTCTATAGTACTGTACAATACGGCCTAATCCCTCGTTGAATTGTACGCAGTAGTTTCCTATAAGATTAATGATTCAATCAAACTTCGAATTTCCTTGCAAAGATAATTCTAATTTAATAATTTTTGATATAGCTATAACATTTGAACGGTTAGGGCTAGAGTTTTTATTCCACACAATTGTAATTCTTGTGGGAGAAAAAACATTTTTTCACTTAGTAAGAAATTTTACCCTTTGACATTGACCTTGGAATTTTACATAAGTTTAAGAAAACTTCATTTTAAATAATAAATTTCGAGCGGCAAGAGCTAAAGCATCCGAACTTCACCAAAGTAAACCTTTTTACAAGGCCCTCCTTTAGATACAAACAACTTTGACCATATAACTTTGACCTTGAAGATTGAACAATTAAAAAAAAATACCTTGGCCATATACTTAACAACAGGTTAATATTTTTTATGAAATACCAAGTCAGAATGGTATAATTTTTTTATTTAGGAAACTTCATATCCCTGTAAAAATTGGGGTCTTTAAAGATCGCAGATTGTGGCACGGAATCTGTCTGACGTTAAGCTAATTTCATTATAACGTCAAACTTTTGGATTTTGACTTAACACATGTTCATAGACGCATACTTCATTTCTTCTTTTAGGCGCAACGCACTTCAAGGTGGTAATATCTTTTTATGCAAAACGAAAAAAAAAATAATTTTCTAAAATAGAAGACCCCCATCTTTGAGTTTACCTAAACAGCATGTGATTTATTTTTTAATGAATCGAAAAATTAATTTTTTAGGAAGCAATAATATGTCAAGATGGCAACCTCGAATATGACGGACTTTTTAACTGAGAAATCTTGTTTGGGGTACCTAACCCTTATCAAAAACTCGTCTGATACCACTGAAGGAAATGTTAAAAGGCTGTCACAAATTTTTGTTAGATTTTGGAATTGCGACCTCTTATTTCACTTTTTGATCTGGCACTTATTTCGGGTTTTCTAGAGCAAAACATGGACTTTGCACTTATAATCATATGGGAGGCAGGGAGGCGGGTATCATTTAGTGAGCTCAGTGCTCACTGTACCTTTATTTATTTTTTATTTTTTTAGATTCGTTGGCTTTCTATAGAATGTCTCTGGTTGTAGGGAAAAACCGAAATTAAAAATAAAAAGACAAAACCTTTTCTTTTTTAAAACAAAATCCATATATATATATTTAATGCACTTTTCTTGTTATAGCGATATTTAAACCATTCAAACTAGATGTTCTGTGATGTTCATATTCCATATGAATATGCTGGCAGCGTCTTTGTTTTGCTGATAGAAACCCAAAAAATGTATAGGAACAAATAATAAAATAGGAGGTGCACAATGGTAATATGTAATAAAAACTGTGAAAGTTTCATCAAATTCCATTCAGTGCTATGAGAAGAGTTGCAGATAAGAGTTGGGTACCCTAAAGCGTAAAGATAGGCGGACAGATGGACAGATAGAAGAACAGATAGGCGTACAGACAGACCGGAGGACATACTGATT